ACCAAATCAAACAAACTTAAACAAGAAAAGGAGATGGACTCTAGAGACACAAGGGTGTCTCCTGGAACTCCTGCAATGTAGCTTGTCCTCAAAGGGACTTGAACCAGGGTTGGCCTGGGGACTAGAACTCTCTCAGGGACCCAGGCACAATCACATTTTTCTCTCTCTCTTTCCCTCTTCCTCTTACAAATATAGTTTCTTATCTCTGCTTTTGCACAAGAAGCATTTCTTTTCCTTTTCCCTAAAGAAAAGATCAGCATTCTCCACAGAATTCTCGGCAGGCTTGAAGTGTGAGAGATGTCCACTCCCACAATATCCTTAGTTCTTCTTGCCTCAGAGCAAGAATATCTCATTCCCAGTCTCAAATATCTTATACAATTTGATTAACGAGCCCTCTGCTGGTTCAAACAACTCTGACAGGGGAAAGGGCTATGGGTGGAAACAACACTTCCAGGTTCTATTCCCAAGGTGTGGGGCAGTTCTCAGAGCTCCTTGGCGCCACCCTCGAGGAAATCCTTCCTGTTCTATCACCTTCCTCTGTCACACCTGAAGTGGGTGCTAAGGGTGTTGCCTCTTCATAGGGCTACATAGCCTTCCTAGCCCCCTTCCTGCCCAGAATTGAGAGTGGAGCCTCGGACTTTTTAGTCCAGCCTCACAGTTTCTTTGGCACTACTGCACAACTCTCTCAGAAGTACAGTCGGCCCCATCTATCGGTTTCCAGACATTTCCATGAGCAAGTTACCACACCCAGTATTCTCTCTGAGGGACTTCTTACATGAGCTTTATTTCTTTGCTTTCCTGTCCCCAACCCTCTCCAATTCTCACTCTCTTTCCTTCTCTCTCTCAATACTTTGCCAAAGAGAACCAGTAGCAACCACATATAGTACTAAGGTTCTGTTTTCCAGCATCTTCCCCCTCAACTACAAGTTCAAAGGGTAAATGATCTGCCTTCAGGGTAATCACAAGGAGCGCCTTTACCAAATATTTTACCTTGTGTCCAGCCTCTCACATCAGTTTCCTCATTGCTGCTGCCTGATTGCTAAGCCAACATTTTAAGTTTGTTTTCAGCAGCATATCGCTTTTGGTGCCAATTTTTGTATTGGTCAGGATAGGGTTTCACACTGCAGAAGCAATTTACCCTGTGAATCTCAGTGACTTTAACACAATAAAGGTTATTTCATGTGCACACCAGGTCTGATAGGAGCCAGAGGAATCTCCGGGACATCTGTCTTCCATGAGGTGGCTCAGTTATTGAGGAGGTCCCTGTCTTTAACTTTGTCATCTTAGCTGATGGACTCAGCAATTGGCCAACAACAGAAGAGACCACAGGAACAATTCACGTCTGCTTTTCTAATCTTTGACCCAGAAGTGAAACACATCACTTCAGCTCAAAGCCCGTTGGCCAGAAATAGTCTTGCATCTCCACCTAACTCCAAGGGGTCTGGAAATCTGAGGGAGCACATGGATAATTGTTGAGCAGTAAATGTCTCTTCCACAGTCCATGGAGGCTCCAGTTGAGAGAGCAAAGCTAGAAGATTTTGGCAGCCTGGGCAGAGGATTCGCTACAGGGAGCATCCCCATCCTGCAGAGTGGCTGACCTGCATTGGAATTTGTATGGGCCAGAAATAAAATTTTGTTTAATTAGTCCACTGAGATTTAAAGATTTAATTATTCTTGCAGCATAGTCCATCCTATCCTGATTAACATAGGAACATAAAGGAAGATAGGAGTAAATGAAACAACATAGCTTACTTTCCCTGAAGCATTGTAATTCCAACCAAAACATCAGTAGGATTTTTTGGAGAATCTGACAAAATGATACGAAGCTTGTGTGGAATAATAAATGAGTGAGAATAGCCGGTACAACTGTAAACAGAATAATGAGGGAGAACTGATTTTACCCGACATGAAGACATTTGATAGGTAAAGAAATTACAGGAAATATAGATAGACATTACAGAGAAAGTACAGGAAATAACAAAGATGTTAGTGGAGAACAGAGATTCCAGAAATAGAGCCAAATACATTTGAGAATTTAGAATATAAATAAAATGGTATTTTAAGTCAATGGGAGACCATAAATAATTCAGAAATATTGTGACAAACAAGCCACTGGAGGGAAAAGTGCTGAAGAACTTCACTTCTTGTGCCCAAATAATTTCTAGGTGGATCAATAATTGAAACATAAAACATGAAGCTATAACAATACTAGAAAAATCATTGGTAATTTTTTTTAATAATTTTGAACTGGGGAAGTTCAAGATGAGACAAAATTGACAAAGTTACATAAAATTAAAACTTCTGCAAGACAGAGAATCCCACACAAAATCAAGAGACAAACTACACGATAGGAAAAAATGCCTGCAATTTATATAACAGGAAGAGGGGTAATTTCTTTAATATACAAAGAGATCTAAAAACCAGCAAGAAAAAATGAGCAATTCAATGGAAAAATCGGCAAAAGGTAGACAGTGCATAGCAAAAAGAAAAGCAAAAAGACGATAAACATATGGAAAGATTTTTTTCAGCTTTTTAAACAATCAAATGTAAGTTAAAAAAAGATATTTTTCACTTAGTATATTTGCAAAAAATAAAATTTTGCTCATTCTCGAGGGTATGGGAAACATGAACTCTCATATATTTTTAATGGAATGTAAGTTGTTGTAACCTCTTTGGAAAGCAATTTGGCAGTAACTATGAAAATTTAAAAAGCACATTCTCTTTAACTCAGTAACTCCCCTTCTAGGAATTTTTCCCACAGAAACACTTACACAAGGAGGCAAATATGTACTCTGTACAGAGGCAGCATGATATTATTGGTAGTAGTCAAAAGCTAGATGAAATTTAAATGCCCATCAGGAGCCAAACTACAGTGGCTCCAGAAAATGGCATGCTACCTAGTGGTTCAGAGGAATCAATATATGCATCTGCATTGATATGAAAAATATCCAAACTAAATTATTTTAAGTGAAAAAAATAAGATAGAATACAGTGTTATTATAAATGAAAATTCCAAGGATCACATTTTTATAAATATATTTATATACATACAAATTTCTGGGAAAAAAGAAATAACAGCTATGGTCATGTTCACTTATAATCGCGTTATATATAAGGGTGTAGTAAAGAGGTGGGCTTTTACGTTCCATGTTATACCCACTTGTTAGAATTTTTTAAACTTGTGCGTGTATTACTTTATGATAAAGAACAAAAATTTAAACCATTAATCCTTCCATTCAAGTATCAGTTCTATATTTTTACCTATCAATCTGGATCTAAAAAGATATTAGCAAATACAAAAAAAAAAAAGAAATGACCAAAGTTAGACATTCAGAATATGTTAGAAATGAGTAAACTGAGTCACCCATCGTGATGAAAGAGGAGAGCCACAATGTTTAGAAACTGTCAAGTCCTGTTTCCACTGCCAGGAAACATCCCCAAGTTTAAACAGTAGCCTTTCAACTTTCAACTTTCAAAAAGAAAATCCATAATAATTGTAGTAGCTCATATTTACTGAGCAGTGACTAGCTGGATTCGGCACTGAGCACTTTTCCATGCGTTATCTCATTGAATCCTCACAAACTCCACGCGGTAGGGGCCCTTGCTATCAGCCCCATTCTACCAATGAGGAAACTAAGAATCAGAGAGAGACATTAAGAAATACCACAACAGATCCAGGGCTCATGTTCCAAAACCTTTGTAATATGCTTCTCAAGGGTTCAGTGCTGACTCCACTACTTACTCTCTGTGTGTCCTCAAGAAAGAGACTTAACATTCCCCATCAGTAAAATGAAGCTGGGATAGGACCTACCTCACAGCTTTGTCATGGAGATTAAACGAGATAACACACGTGATGTGCTTAACTCAGAGCCTAGCACGTAATGAGCCCTCAATAAATATTAGCTACTGTGGCCGTCGTTAGAAGGCCTTTTATGATACAGTCCCTTCTTACCTGTCCAGTCTCATATCTTTTCATGCTCTCCTCCTGTCCTCCTTGAACTCAATCTCCAGTCCTCCTAACCTCCTTGCACTCCCCCCCGGCTTCCCAAGGCTTCTGTGCCTCTGTGGCTCCCTCTGCTAGAGGGTTTGTTGCCACCTTCCATCCTTTCTTCACTTGACTGATTCTTACTTCTCCTTAAGACTCATCTCAGGGATCACTTCTTCTCAAAAGCCTTCCTTGATCTCAACTTTCTGGGTTAAGTGCTCCTTCTTGAGTTCCGGTACCAGCCTGTGCTTTCCTCTCTCATTGGGTTTGTCAAACTGCAATGCTGTGACTTTCTAAATGCTTAGTCTCCACGACCCGCTAATCTGTGAGCTCTTGAAGCCAGGTTCTAGGTTTTCTTCATGTGAGTCCCTCTGGGGCTTAGCACACAACCTGGCAATAAATATTTACTGAATGGATTAAATGGTAACCGGAAGAAGAGGGGGCTACTTTTCCTGTGACCTCTGTTGACCGTTCCCAGGAGGTTATTCCTTTTGTAAACTAGGATGTAAGTCAGGCGAATGGAGTTTATTCATTCCTTAAATTATCATTTGCTCCTACTACTGTTCCAGGTGCTGAGGCCACCATAGTAAATAAGACAAAGCGTTCTGCTCCCTGGTGGTCATAGTCTAGCATGAATGGGAAAGAGAGAGACAGCAAATAAATAAGTGAAAGTAATTTAAATAGTGGTACATTCTAGAACAAAAATAGAACAAGGTTAAGGGTAGATAGTGATGGGGAACAAGAGGCTAATTTAAATTTTGTAGTCAGGGAAAGCCTCTGTGGAGGTGACCTTTAAGCTGAGACCTGAATGACAAGAAACATCCAATCATGCAAAGCCAGGGAGCGGAGCCAGTCGAAAGGCCCTCGGGGGTGGAGGGGGGGGGGGACCAAGTCTGCATTTCCACCGGGGGGAAGAGGATCTTGGTGTCTAGAGGCAAGTTTCACCAGATGATATCAGAGAGGGGTCATGACCGGATCCGGGAAGGCCTCTTAGGCCATGAGAAGGTATCTAGATTTTGTTCTGCCCACAACAGGAAGCCACTGAAGGGTTTTACACAAGGGAGTGAGATGATCTGATTTCATATTTTTAGAAGATCATTCTGGCCTCTGTGCAGAGGGCAAGAATAGAAGAAGATCAGGTTATCACAGTGGTTCAACAAGATGACTGCAGCTCGGAGCTAGAGATGACAAAAGCGGAGGGATTTAGCAGGTCTTGGGGAAGAGATGGCAAGACTTGCTGATGGCGTATATGAAGGGAATGACGGGGACAAGAAGGATCGAGAGCGACACCTGAATTAGACTGTAGCAGCTGTGCAGAGTGTGCTGTCACCCACTAAAGTGGTGAAGACCACAGGAGAAACAGGTCTGGGGGACAGAGAGTGGGAGGAACCTAAAGTTCCATTGGGGCATATTAGGTTGGTGTTGCTATTAGACATCTAAGTAGAGAGCACAAGAGCCAGTGCACTCCACGAGCCTGAAGCCTGATGAGTGCACCAGGGTTGGGACTCCAAACCTGCTGATCATCTGCAAATGAATGACGTTTAAACAGAGCAGTAGAACAGATATGCTGTGGCAAATGAGTATGGAAGGAGGATGGAGAAAGACAAGAAGGGAAGAGGAGAGAAGAGGAAGGAAGGAGGAAAGAATACAGCTCCACATCATGCTCAGGAGTGCTCAATGGGAGGAGAGGGAGAAACAGCAAGTGATTTAGGTGGGAAATCCACCCAGAAAATCCACCCAGCAGAGGGTGTGAGATAGAAGCTGAGAAAAGAGAGATTGAAGAAAGTGCTGAAGGTCAAGTCAGATAAATGCAGCAAGTGACTGGGTTTGGCAAAAGGGAGATAGTTAATAACTCTGACTGGAACCATTTCAGGGGCATTATGGGTAAAAAGCTCAGCTACAGTGAGCTGAGAGGATGAGGATGAGAAAGCGGAGACGGTGACTCTAGACACTTTAAAGACATTTTATTGTGGAAAAGCAAGGCCAGAAGAGGAAGAAGGTCAAGAAAGAGGTTTTTTGGCTTTGTTTTTAAGATGCAAGATTCTGGCACTTTCATATGCCAATAGAGTTGGAGAGAGAGGCGCTGGTGGCCAGAGTAAGGTCTTGAGAATGTGAATGGGGATGGGATCCAGGCACAAGTGGAGGGTTAGGGTTGGCCTATGCAAGGACCCGGTCCTCTACTGTGACCACAGGGAAGACAAACATTCAGCAGAGGCAGGGTGGATGGTAGAGTTGATTATGAGAACATTCTGGCAGTTTTTATTTTCTCAGTGAAGTCTGAGAGAAAGGCGTCAACTAGACATGAGGAGAGGAGGAAGCAAGTGTTGGAGCTTCAGGGAGAGAGAAGCTGTGAAATGCTTCCTCGTACAGCAGGACAGTGAATGACCAAGGGAAGTGTAAGCTGGCTGCCGGGCACTGTGGAGAGCGCACCCACGTTTGTGATCATGAGTTAGAGTGAGACTAGTTTCTATACTTGTGCTTTGTCACTTTAAGCTGCTCAGAGTAGCTAATGGTGGATGATACCATGGCAGGACTTTTGACCAGGAACAAAGGTGCTTCAGGGATGTACATTCCTGGCACCTGAGGGAACAGAGAGAAAGCTTGTTGTAGGAGTCGATACATCTCTCCCAGCATCCTTTCCTCTCTTCCTTGTCCATAACAGAATCCAGTTTTGTTCAGGTGTTCACCCAGCTCATGAGACTCATGGGAATGAGAAACCGAACTCATCTCCAGCTCCAGGAGTGGATGCTCACGTTCTAAACCAATCAGCACATGCCATTCCTCTGATGACGGCTGTGAAGTAGCCCAGGGGTGGACGCGGGGCCCAAGTTGGGACAGTCAGGTGGAAGGGAAGGACCCAATTCCATGGGTGGACTCCCATTGTTTCTCTCTCCCACTTGACAAGAAAAAGGAAACCTGATGCCCCAGCTCTTGGCCACAGTTGCAAGACAGAGCTGATGCAGCAGCTAGCAGTGGAGAGATGGAAATAATCTGGGGCCCTGATGACATAGTTAAATCCCTGAATTAATCAGCCTTAAAGCCCATCTTACTTCTAAATTTCCTGTTATTTGAGATAATAAATCTCCCTATTTTTAAAAAACCAGCTTAAGTCAGGGTTTCTGTGCTTGCAGCAAAAGCATCCTCATGGACACAATTGTTTTTCTGTATTTACAGTATATCAGAAATCCTCAAACTGGACAATGCTCACCTCGCCCTCAGATAAACATCCTGCCTCATGGCAGAGCAAATGCTCGTGTCCAGGAAGCAGGTCTCAGGGCCACTGGGGCTCTGCTGCTCCCACAGTTTCATTTACCAAGAGGCAGGTGTGTTTGTCCACAAACCGGCTTTGCCAGTTGTCCTTGTTTTTGTAATTATATAAACTGAGGAAATATAAGTGAAGAAAAGAATTGTTGTTGTATAAAATCCAACCTGAATGCTTTCAATAAATAGTAAAGGGAAAGCAGCTTAAAAAACAAAGCAAACACAAAATCTTAGGGTGTGGTGTGGGTGAGACAACTGTAAAATAATTGGGGAGTTTTGTCTAATCTAGATGAATTCTCAACTCAGCTTGTTTCCCAAGTGTCTTTGAGTTCTCTGTCTACTTTAAAGATGTTGGGACTGGAAACCACTGACATTGTGTCAATTTTTACTTTTTAGAAGTCCACAAAGAATTCCAGTCAGCTGTCGCATGCTTAGAGAAGAGATCTTGTCTCTTTAAAATATTGCCAAATGAAGGTATATTTGTATGTTTTACTCTAATAAAATATTCAGTGTTTTCCTCTTTTACTCTTTCCCTACTTTAACTGACCAACTTTTTAACTGATTGCTCAGCTAGCTGCCGGACCAGGGGCTTCTGTGAAGACACGTCCACTGTTCCCCTTCAGCTCCCTCTTTCACCGCCAACCCACTGCCATCAAACTCTCCCCTTTCTCCACCATCAGCACTTGCTTTTACAAAATTATCATTACAATAACAAGAGGACCTTTCATTTTAATAAAAGATCTGGAAGGATCTACACTAAAGTGTTAGCTGCTATTTCTGCGTGAAGAGATTATGGAATTTTTTTCTTATTATCATGTATGTGAATAATTAATTATGCAAACTAGTATTGATTTGGTGATAAGAAAATAAAAGTAAAAGTTTTTTCCCCTCCAAGAAAAAGAATGCTTCATCTTTTTATGAGAATTTACTCTCTATAAAGGACTTTTAGTTCCATTGCATCAATGGCACTTCCTAACCACCCTCTGAATAAATCATTTATTCCCACTTACAGATGAGACCACCAAGAGGGAGAGAAGGGAATTGTTTGGCTGCGGGTGACAAAGCTAGTAAGACGTAGAGCCTGGAGAGATTCCTAGGTTCCTGATGTCTGCTGCAAGTTGTTTTCGTATTCCTCTAAATTACTAAAGATTTGATGAAAATGACTGATCATAGCGAAATATGTTACCTCTGCCCCAGTGGAGAAGTATATTTATATTGCTGTATTTTTTAGTCCCAAAATATTACTGCAAGAGGAGGAAGTCCTCCCCAGCACAGTTAGCAATTCCCATACAAGGTCAACGTCACATGGAAGGTGGCAGCAACCTTTCATGTCCAACTCCCACTTAAAACTTCAAGATCAGCTCCACTGGTCTCAGCTGGAAAATTGAGGCCCACTGGACTTTGGCAAAGTCTCTATAAACTGGTAGTGATAATACCTAAATATCTAAATACTGTTGTCAGGAGTCAAATGGTAATATATGTAAAGCTCTTAAAACAACAGCTAGTAGACTCAATCATCATCATCATCATCATCATCATTATCATCATCACTGTCATCACCATTACTAGGGATACTGTTAGAAATAATCATAGTACTTCTATTTTCATAAAGGCGAAGGACTTGGTGGGTGCCACTTGGTTGATGGGCATTAGATACAGAAGATTATGAATCAGAACAGTACTCTCTCATTCACTGGAGTTGTTAGGGTTCATCTCTGCTAGTCTCAGATGTCTTCATTCTCATGCTGAGAATTCGGCGCCTCAGAGTTGTTTGGACAACTTCTTTACACTCCACTTTGGCCCCTGAGCCCTCTGAGAATAAGAAAACTAGTCTCTTTATGGAGGAATGACATGCTTCCTTGATTCCTTCCCATTTTGGTAGTTCATTTTGATTTCCCACCAGTATAGAGGGTTCCAGGAGGCTGCCACCTTATATAGACCCGCAGAGAAAATGGCAGATGGGGGTCTCATTCACAGGTGGCCCGAGCAGCCCCAGTGTTGTGTGAGCCCTTGGGCCCAGCAGGCCACAACCCCATGTCTGTCCCACCTACCCAGATCCTTCCACACAACTGGCCAAACCCATCCCAAATTGACAGGATTTATAGATTGCAAAGATTTCCCATAATATGTCATTTGTACCACAACCTTGTAAGGAGTTATAACTATTCCATTTTACAGTATAAAAACCAAATAGTCTTTGAAAGCTGACACTCAAGAAAACCTTAGAAGTTAGCCCAACCCAATCCCATCCTTTTCCAGAAGAGTATGTTGAAACCCTGAAAGGTTAAGTGGCTTCTTCAAAATCACAGTGACAGTGATAACAAGGGTGACTCGACCAGATATGCCACTAAGCACTTTACACATATCATCTCATTTTGTTCTCACAAAAATCTTGCAAGGCAGGACGCATCAGGTGAGAAAACCGAGGGGGCCAGGAGTCAAACCCAGTTTTTCTGATGCCAGTGCAGTGCTCGCTCCACCCCCCAGCACCGCTGCCCCTAGGAGGAGTCCTCTCCACTCCTGATGTCAGGGCCATCCATTGCTGGGGGACGACGTGGCTCTGAACTGGGGAGAGAGAAGTGGGCAAGGCCTGGCGCATGGCGGGAAGGAATCGGGAAAAGGACAAAGACATCGGAAAGCAGGTGATGGCAGGGAAGCCTGACCGTCAGTAAAACGGCAGCTGCCCACTCGGACCACGCAGGGTTCCTTTCAGCAGCAACACAGCGTGAGCCAGGTTGAGCTGCAGCGAGGGCCAAGGAAGAGCCAGAGGTTTGTTAGCAGGATTTTTTTTTTTTAACCTCTCAAACTCTGGTGAATTATGAACAGGTGAGACAAACATCCAAAAGAAGTCTGCCAATTACGTGAATTTTCACCAGGAGTAAGTCGGTGATTCTCAGCCAGGGATGACTGTGCCTCCATGGGCCTTTGGCAGCGTCTGGAGACATTTTGGTTGTCACACAGAGCGTGGGGGTGCTGCTGGCCAGTAGTGGGGAGAGGCCAGGGGTGCTGTTAAACATCTTATAACACAGGACAGCCCCCTCCACAAGGACTTATCTGACCCAAAATATCCATCGTGCTGCGGCTGAGAAACCCTGGTGTAAACGAGGCAGAGCTGCGTGTAAACATGACCCGAAGTGTACATCAAACACCGCAGATTCGGGGAATCGGTGAGGCTGGGCAGAGGGCACCGGCGTGGAGGCTGCAAGACCTGATTTCTAACCCTGACTTGTTGACGACTGGTTTGGAGCTTGGGGAAAGTCATTTGCCATCTCCAGGTCTCTTTTTCCTCCTAGAGCTAGAGCAGCCAAGTGACAAGGGCCAGATCTTTCCTGGGGTTGGCTGGTGGCACCCAGGAAACAACAGGGTTTCTTCACCCTTGCGGAACGTTGTGAAGCGATGATAACCCAGGCATCTCAAAGGCTCGTGTACCGTGCTTTGTTTTCGCAGAGAATCAGCACTTTCCCCTCCACTTATAAAGGCCCATAATCATTTTAGAAACTAAAGAAAATATAGAATAACACAAAGAGAAGAAAAAGAAATGTGTCATAATCCTACCCCTTAGAAAGAAGTTTTATTCTAGAGGTCTCCAGACACTGAGCTTCACTATTTTGAAAGTAAAGAGGAAGAGGAGAGGGCGGGGTCATCACACTCCCCTTTTGTTGTTGGTTTTTTTTCGTTTTCACTTCCCTGTAGTGCAGTGGAGCTTTAAGACTTTGAGTCAGAAGTAGATTTCGAATAATTTTAAACTGTGGCTATTTGACTTTGCACTAGTGTCTTAACTTCTTTTTTTTTTTCCAATTGTGATAAAATACAAATAACATAAAATTGCTCCACGATTTTTAAGTGTACAGTTCAATAATGTGAAGTATATTCACATTGTTGTGCAACCAACCTCCAGAACTTTTTCATCTTGCAAAACTGAAACTCTATACCCATTAAATGACAACTCCCCATTTCCCCAGCCCCCCAGTCCCTGGCAACCACCATCTACTTTCTGTTTTATAAATTTGACTACTCTAGACACCTCATATAAGTGGAATCATACAAATCATACAAGATTTGTCCTTTTGTAACTGGCTTATTTCACTTAGCATAATGTCTTTGAGGTTCATCCACGTTGTAGAATGTGTCAGAATTTCCTTCCATTTTTAAAAGCTGAATAATATCCCATTGTATACATACACAGCACATTCTGTTTACTCATTCTTCTGTTGATGAGCACTTGGGTTGCTTCCACCTTTTGGCTATTGTGAATAATGCTGCTATGAACAAGAATGGGCAAATATCTCTCAGAGACCCTGCTTTCTCTGTCTTATCTTGAGTTTCCCTCTGTTTTGTTGTAAAATGGGGAAAAGAAGAACATTTGCCTTGCATATCTCACAGGGAGAGTGCTAGAAACAGTGAAGGGCCAATAGCAATCGTGTTCCCACCAGGGCAGGAGTGGGGGTTGCATGGGGACAACTGGCCCACATGGGAAATGCTGGGTGGACTTGACGAGGCCTGGAGAGATGAGAGAGACCGAGGCCTGCAGCTGTTCCCATGTGAGCACCCAGCCCACTGGGTCCCCCAACCTGGCCCTCCCGTTGCATAGCTTTCCTCCTCATCTTTGGTTTGGTTGTCTGGCTTCTCTGCTAAGCTCTTCTTCTCTAACTCTGCCTGTAAAATATCTATCACTTTCAAGATCCCATTAAGCAAGTGTCCTGCCTACAGAGCACCTACCTGAGAATTCAGGCGTTTTTTGTTTCACACTGTGAGGCAAAGCCATTCCTATCTGAGTAACAAAAATCATCTTATCTTAGTGTTTAATAATTCCTATACTGCAAAGTATGAAGCTTTGAAAAGCAACTCTTTCAGAAACATGGGATTATAAGGTGCAACTTCAGGAGGCTAAATCCAATCCTGGTGGGCCCAAGAGACACATCTCTAAGGTGCCTTGTTTCCTTCTAGAACTCAGTCGACTCCTAGGACACTCGGGTCAGCAATCCCCCAGCTCTAACCTTTCACAGGCCTTTGACTTCCCCAGTCACTGGGACATCACAATGACAATAATATCTTCCACGTTGAAGCACTTGATGGTCCACAAACCCTTTTCACATGCATTGGCCTATTTATTCTCACAATCCTATGAGGAGGGCAGACAGTGACCAGCTCACCTACCTCAGAGATGAAGAAGAAGGAGCTCAGAAACACAGCCAGGATGTAGAAGAGCCAAAACTGAATCATGTTTTCTGTCTTCTCTTCCTGTGACCCCTGCACTCCACCAAGTGGAAGTGATGGGGGTGATAAGCTGGGGGTCACCAAGGCCACATCTGGGAGCTCCTAAGTCAAAGAGATAGAGGAGACTGGAATGGCTTCATCTTTTTAGTTACTTCCAGTTCTAAACAAAGACATAGACATTGAGAAATACTAATTTATGCATATGTGTGCATGAGGAAGGAAAGAAGCAAGACACTTAAAATACGGGAAAAAAGAAAAATATATACTGCCTGATCAGTTATGGACTAGTACTGTCAGGTAAAGCTTGGAGGGAATTTAATTAGTAGGTGGCCGTACTTGAAAGGGTCTCTTACAGATTTATAACCTACACTTTGTCCACGTGCTTAACTATTAGCAAAAGAGAAAGAGTGCTCTGTTGCTTAAAATAAGGCATTGACCCGTTAGAAAAAATTCACCTCCTGATTGTACCTTGCGGCATTGCCATTAGAAAGAGTTCACGCTGTGAGAAAGATATAATTATGGCAGCTCTGAAAATGTGACCTTTTAGAATCCCTCTGGAATTAAAGGATGTCAAAAGGATTTAGCCACATCACAAATATGCCTGCTGCTGTTTGTTTCTGTTCTGCTCCATTCATTACAACTAACCACTCACATGTGAATAAATGGTAAGTAATCAGAGCCTTTGTGCCGGTTTGTTAAAATACTTGCTTCTCCACCATCCCCTTAGAGCTCTCTCCCAGTTTTCATACTGAAGTAGTGAATTGTTTGTGTTTTCAGTAGCACAGAAGCATCCTTTTCCTTCTTTTCGCTCCTGCAGAATGGCAAGACCAGCAC